CATGAGACTTAGAGGAGAATATTTGTACATTACCAGGTAATCAACAAGTATGACCTGACCTGGGCCCAGAAAAATATCTTCAGCTGGTTTTGATTAAAGCGTAAGCTGTCCTTTTTAACCCTTATGACCCAGCTGATTCTGTCATGAACAAAAGTGCTGGAAAAAACCACTATGTGAAGTTCAAAATATTTATGGGACAAAATTGTTTCCTTGGACAAAAATTTATTTTCTTTTGGAGACAAAGTTCTGTCTTGGTCGACGCCGCACACCATGCCTGCTTATCACACCAACAAACATCAGCTGGAAAAATGAATTAGGGACCAGTGGAGAGATATCTTGGAAATCTTTTTCTACTACAGCAAAAAACAAAACAAAACAAAAACTCACTTTCATTCTTTTTCCTGTTTTATTTTCAATTCCTCTACCAGAGATAAGGGAAAACTCTGTTCTCCAACCTTATACTGATTATCTAGTCCTCACTCCTTTCCTTACTGTTCAGTGACTATTTTGCCTCCTTCTTTATTCCACCCCAACTTATTTCCTTCCCTACCAACTTTCTCTCCCCAAAACCCACACCTCAAATAGCTCCAACTTAGTTAATCAAACGTATCCTATGAACCATCCATTCCCACTAACTTATATCCTTTTTCCTAATTCAAGTTCTAGGGTCACTTTCTGCTTCCCATTTTCCCTCCTATTCTAACATTTGGAGTTGCCAATGTAAGATTTGGAGTTGGGGGAGAAAGCTATATTAGTCCCATAAAACATTTAAAGTATTAATAAATTAACTACCCAAACTTCAAGCAAATTATTTTAATCTTTCTGGGACTTGGCTTATTCATCTGTAAAACAAAGGAGTTATTAGATCATTATTAAATCTCAATGACAAATTTCCAGATCTTGATAGAGATCTGAAACTACAGAACTGAAGTGTAATGCAGGAATTTTCTAAAAAGCACCCAGATGAGTCCAGTGATCAGCCATGTTTGGGAATCATTGCTAAATGCTTAACGGTTCCTTCTAGTCTAACACTCCAGGATTCTAAGCTGAAATTTTCACTGCATTTTCTGGTATGGAAATTGTTATAAAAGCAATATCATCTGCATAGTCATTGGTACTACAGTTCAGGTAGTTTATTGATTAAATAGGTCTCTGTAGGCAGATCTAACACCTAAGTACCATTTACATTAACACATGATAAAAGCTGACTTGCAAATGAATTTGTAAAATATGTTTAGACTAGGGACCATCAGTATTACAATACTAAGTCCCTAAGTAAAACACTTAAAAGTTATTTCTCTGGGATTATTATGTGCATTTTTCACAGATGCCTTTTTTACAACTAATATTGGGTCTATATGTCAGAAATATAGGTAGAAACAGCATGTTCATTAGGATCATTTATTTTGTTAGTTCACTGATGGAGCTTTGTATATCATTGGAACAAAGCCTAGAGAAGTCTAGATCATTGGTGAATTCAGGGCATTAAAATGCCTAAAGAACATTCTCATTCAAATGTTTAGACCGACAGGACTTTACCTTCCCAAAAGAATACTAGATTATTCACCTGTGAACTGCATGTATCTAGTCTAGCTCTGGTAACTTACCACTACCAGTGTTCACTATAAATAAGTATTTCTGTGGTTAATATTTGGGTTTAAAGTCATGTTTAAACAAGTGGGAACGAAGCAAGTATAAGCAGCACTTGAAGAGATTATGATACATTAGTGTGTTAATTTAAGTGTAACCTGTTTATTATGAATAAATGAATAATGAATAATAATGAAATGATTATTAAATGGTAAAAATAGAAACTGAATTATATGCATTTTTTTCTTTAAAATGATGCACTTAAGTTTGTACAAAATAGCATGATAAATTGCAGAAAAGTGTGTCCATTTATCTAATTTCTCCAAATAACATAAAATCTACAGTGAATGCCATTATGTAAGTGCATTCTTTGAATATCAAGAATGATGCAATTGCTGCTATGGTAACCACTCATTTTATTGACTAAATTGTGGGTTTGGGTTTAAAGCACTCTTTTAAAAAAATAAATGTCAACATCTTAACTGTGTCTGATAAATCTCTTTCTATTGCTACCTATTAAACAATAACTACAAGCCACGTTTGGGATGACTATTTAAGCAGCCTATATTAAAAGCTGGGCTGGAGTTGCCAAGGAAAGAAACCTTTAAAGTTTCAAAAAAGAAACATTTTAACTACATTCCAAAGAACAAAGGACACTTAGTTTTAACTTTCTGCAGTAATTGAAAAGTTGTGTGTAAATCAGCAGTAACATGATCTTACATGTCTCTGTTCCTTCATTGTCATAATTTTCCTTCTAATACTAAATTATTAACTAAGTCTAAGACTAACACTAGAAGGCTGCTGAATTTTCAGTTTGGAATTAAGCTAAAACAAGAGCCAGTTGAAAGGTAATCCCCCATTTTGATACTTAAGAGAAATCTCTCCTGAGCATATGAAAACACTGAAAATTTTCACTGTCACAATCTTATAAAATAGCTCTGTGCAAAAGCCCATATTTAAAACATACCAAGGACAACTGCAGACTCCAACTGTAAGCCCTCCTCAGACACAAGCAAAAGCTACTAAACGCTTCTCGCCCTGCTCAGGATCTTCCAAAGGGGGGGTTCCCACCTCCCTGGAAGGCCGGCTTCCTCGGCATCTGTGTCTTTTAGGAGGCTTCAGAACTTCACAGCATTTCGAGAACCTGCCCAGATCTCGTCCTCACCGGCCTAGATACACACTGAGATCAAGTGTCTGAAGACTGGGGGGCGGGGGCCTGGGTGTAGCCCGTCCCCCTAGTAACAAGGTGAAGTCCCGTCAGCTAAAAGGCCTGCTGACTTCGCAGCCCTGGAAGCCAATGCGAGGCAAGGGGAACGAAGTCCCAGGAAGGGGGTCGGACGTGGAAGCAAATGGAACAACAGGCGGGTCTGGCGCAAAGAAGTCAGGGGCAACTCAGCCTGCTCTCCGCCTTCTGCAAATGGATTTCACCTGCCTTCGTGTTTTACCTTGTGCCCCTCGCGGCGAGCGACCCCCACCGCCTCCGTGAATGTGTCTGTGTTTGCGTGTGCGGTGACGACGATCTCAGCACCCCGGCCGGGGGACAGGGGCTTGGACGGGGTGGGGACTCCGTGCCTCTGGAGGCCTGGAACTCTCCTGAAGGGCGCTCGAAGAAAAGGGGGCGGGCGGGCCGCGGCTGATACCGACCGGGGCTCGGAACCCGCCGGGGAGAGCGGCACCGGCTGGGCTGACGTGCAGATCCTTTCGGTTTTAATGGTGGCCTCTTTGGGGGAGGGAAGAGGTGACAAGGTTGGGGGTGATGGGGCCTCCCCTCCCCCCTCGCTCAGCTCGCTGTTTACCTTCCCGGTACTTCTTGCGGAGCCGCCGGTGGACGCTCTTCACCACCCCGGAGAGCTTCTCCTGCTCCAGCTTCCGCTCCTGCTCCCGGGGCGGCGGAGC